TTTAATATAGACCGTTAGATATATAACATTGTGTGCCACAATGTTCTTCATAGGGGGAAGGAATGTTGTGAGTTAAATATTTATTTTATTTAATTTCACGGGTTTTGGCAGTTTTTCCGTTAGGTAGTGTGTACGATCTTAGGTGATCGTACATTTTCCCTAAAAATAGGCAAGGTTATTTGCATCTGGGCAGTTGTTGACTAGAACCAAAGCATCAGACCGTCAGTTCGACGATAAGAAATGCTGAGTTTTGGTATGTGGTTAGTAATTGGTGTCACGATGTAAGGGACTTTGAAAATGTAAATACGGAAGAATTGCAAAAATATGTAGAGCATTCTTATTAATAATAAAAACTTTGCAAATTTAGCAAAGTAAATTATGAAACTATGGAAAAGCCCAATAAGGTAACTAGGGTAATTTTAAGGTCATATATTGGATTTTTGCATCAAGTTTAGGTATATAAGATGGGTTCAAAATTTGAACTCTGGTTGATAGAAATAAAAAGTGGTTAAGCGAAGTAGCGCTTAAAAGTATAATGTGCATTTAGAGAAACATAAAGTGGTCAAGCGTAGTAGCGCTGACTGATAAATTGAAAACAAATAAGTCGTGTGTTTCTAAAAATTAAACAAAAAATATATTTGTAAAAAATTAAAGAAAATAAATAATTTAAATAAAATAATTGTGAAACTAAACTCAAGTGCGAAGTGTTTCTATAATAGCTAAGGACATTGTAAAATAGTTATAAACATTTATGTTAAGAAAAGTGGTAGTTTTGATTAAACAAAAATAAAAAGAAAACTCTATACAAAGAAAGAAACTTGAAATTAGAATAAAAGAATATCTACAGAGAAACAAATCAATGACTTTTCTTTTCTTGAAACATGAAAAATGAATAACCAAATAAATTATATAATTATCTAACTCGACAAACAAAAATTACAACTAAGAAAAAAAAAAGGACATATACGATTATAGTTAGTAAAAAGAAACAACTAACTGAAGTTAAATAAAAGATACAAAAGACATATACGATTATAGTTAGTAAAAAGGTACAACTAACTGAAGTTAAATAAAAGATACAAAAGACATATACGATTGTAGTTAGTAAAAAGATACAACTAACTGAAGTTAAATAAAAGATACAAAATACATATACGATTGTAGTTAGTAAAAAGATACAACTGAAGTTAAATAAAAGATACAACATATAGTCCAGATTTTGAAATAAAGGATACAACATTTGGCGCAGTCACGTCTTACATCACAGAAAACCACAACAATTCCATTCGAACTTTACATTTTTCTTGCAGAGCCTCGTTAAAACGCAACGAATCGTTTAATAGCATCTGCATTTGTTGGTGTCGGATAATCTAAGATAGTTTGAAATTTACTATCATCCGGCAAAATGCCTTTGTCTGTACATTTATGCCCAAGGTAAGTCACTTCGTGACCGAAAAATGAGCA